CCCAAGGAGGACAGTGGGGACATCATCTACCGCAGTCATTACTGGAGTGGTTATAAGTCAACCTAATACAGGTCAACTTAAGTTTTGGGGTGTTGAGCGTACCCTTTACAAGCAAAAGGATTTCTCTCACCCAAAAGCTTTCAGCAGTCCATGCTCTTTGGAAAGCCTTCCAGCTCGGACCACTCCCCCAGCTCAATGATGCTCCTATTGTCTTTCAAGGGATCTTGCTGCCCTGAGTAGAGATGGGGCCAGAAGCCCTTTCCCCGTTTCTTGTACTCGGGTCCTTTATACTTGAAAAGTCTTTGCTGGGTCATGGGGTCAGGGAACTCCATGGCATAAGTGACCTACACACTGTACTACAGATGAATTGTAAGTTTCTTTGTTTACCCCTTTCTTCCTGTTGATGGAAATCTCAGAGAATCCTTTAAGACTCAAAATCAGGGGAAGAAATTTACCCATTTTCTTCTGAAGTGGCTAAACCAGCTTTGCTTCTCGCCTCATTATTCAGCTGTATTAGTTACAAAAGTTTTAGCATCATCATAAAAGAAAGAGAACGAAAGAGAAAAAAACCTTCCCATCTACAAATGATCTGGACCAAACCTAGAAAAAGCCGAGAAGTAATTTTACCAATAGATGGAAACGGGGCTCTAAGATCTGAAGGTCCAACTGTGCTTTGAAGTTCATTGAGATTTCCCTGCCCACTCCAGGTCTGTGACACTTCCTTCTCCAGCCCTCCGAAGTCTGACTAAGATCATAGACATCAAAGCTGTGATTCCTAAGCATGGAGAGCTGGGGACAGAGTGGTACATGACACCATGGGAGATGGAGGGATAGAACGGAGGCAGGTTAAACTTTCCATGGCTGGGACAGAGGCTGCTGTGTGGAGAGAGGAGCGTGACAGTGAGAGGGTAAGGAGGGAATCTCTCGCACTCGCCCCATTGCCCTGAAATAGCACAGAACGGAAAACTCCACATTTTACTGTCCCTTCTCCCACCTTTTTAGCATCTGGTTAATTCTGGCCCATAAGGGATAAAATGTACAAACACTAAATGCTTTTGAGCACAGCCTGGAGCAATGTGAGACTATCTGGGAATGAGACAACCTGGCCCCAAAGGGGGAACTCAGGGACTAGCAATCACTCTGCTAACGGGAGGTCGGGCGTCAGAAACTGTGTTCCCTGCAGGCTACGCAGCTGCACTGCAGGCTATGGAGGGCAGTGGAGGCAGGCAGGGAGAGGAGCCCCTCCCCAGGCTTGGCCCAGGTCCACTGGAGCTGCTGGGGAGTGGAACCCCTCCCTCAGCCCGGCCCAGGACGCCGTGGCTGGGGAGAGCTACCTCTGACCTGGCCCCAAACTGCTCTGGTGAGAGAGAGCTGGGGGAGTCCTCTCTCCACTGCAGTCTGAACCCCAAACCCCTCATCCCCAGTCCCAACCCCCACATGTCTAGCCAGAGCACTCACCCCTCCGCACCCCATCCCTCTGTCCCAGCCCTGAACCCCCTCTCACACGTCAACCTCCACATCCCCAGCCCCACCCCAGAGCCCGCACCTGAATCCAGAGCCCTCACCCCCTTCACCTCATCCCTGTCCCAGTCCTGAGCCAGTTCCCACACTCCAAATCCCTCGGCCCCACCCCCACCCCATGAATTTTGTTCTGTGCACCAATATGGAGATGATGTGTCACATACTGGTGCGTAGAACCAAATTCATTCCGCACTTGGATGTAAAAACTGAGGGAACACTGGTCAGAACGCATCAGATGCTGAGCGGGGTCCAGCAGAGCCCCCTGCCCCTGGGTGAAATACACAGCCACCTCCTCCAAGGTCACCAGCATCTGAAACAACAAGAGTCCCCCGCTCAGCACCTGCTGCCCCTGCCACAGTCCCACTAATCATGGCAAAGAAAGAAAAGAGTGAAGGGCCAGAGTAGCAGAATCCCACAGGCACCTGCTCAGAGCGGCCAGAGGCTCCGGGGGCTGGGAGACGGTGAGAGCTCCTTGTCCCCGCAGCACAGGGAGAAGGGGAGGGTCTTCTGATTTCCCACACGCCTGCCAGCCACAGGCTGAGACGGGAAGCAGAGCTCTGAGCCGGGGACGGGGACAGGAATCCCGACAGCTTCCCTTCATATTTCACAGCAACTGTTACGAATTATTCCAGTTAGGACACTTACACTTCGTTTCTAGGCTGAGGCAACCAAATAAAGACAGACTGCAGAGTGTCTCAGAGTTTGTAGGTTTATTGTGCTCGAGCATGGTACCGTTCTCTTAAGCTGAACGGGACCCCGATTACAGGTTACACAAAGATTATAAACTGTTGGCAAAACATCCTGCCTGTGTGCCTCGGGGCGCATAACCCAACAAACAGGCCTTCTCTTTATCTATCACCAATGCCCTGCAGCCACCTTCCCCCTGCAAAAACGCTGAATTAGCAGCTATTTCAGGCATGTCAGCTGGTTTCTGTCTCCTTTGTTTCCCTTATCTTGAAACTGTCCAGCTGTCCACCCTGAAGGATCCTCCTCCCTTGGTATGTGATGTGCTCGCTTCTAGTTAATGGCTGACAGGAAACCCAAAATGGAGTCACATATGCTAACTAGGTTGATTGCCCCTGACAGTCCTTCCTTTTTTTATGTACGTCAGTAAACTATATCGGGACAGAATAACCTCGATGCAAGATTAAAATTTGCCGGCAGCACATACTACAGCATTGTAGGCATACAAAAAGTAATACAAAAAGAGAAACAGCCATAGAATGAGGTACAAAATACGCCTTCCCCAAGCCCCCAAGTCTGGCAGCCAGGAGGTGAGCCAGCTCCAGGCCTCATGGAATCCGGTACTGGTGTCGTCAAGTGAGGTGAAGTGAGGTGGCCTGCTGAATAAGGCTGTGGATATTGGCTTCCACCCTGCGGTGTTGATTCACAAAGACACAACAGCTTGAGTTAACAAGAGCACATACGCCCCCTGGTTTGCAAGGAGATAGTCTAAGGCTAAGGGGTTCTGCAGTGTGGGCTGAGATAACTGAGTCACCTCCATTTGAAGGGTAGACAAGGCGCCTGCAGTGGCATTTGCCATTAATTCTAAGGCTGCAGAAATATTAACTGTAGCCTTTTCCAATTCACTCACCCACACCCAGGGCAAAAACCAACGAACAAAGGAGTGAAAGCCTGTAGGCCGTTCAGAGAGAGGATTTGATGGGACATTTCGTCGGTTCCTCCATACCAGGTTCCCAATTTCCCCCTGGGCTAGGGCCTGGTGTACTGTAACAGCGGGTACAAAGGTGCATGTACCACACCAACCTGCCGGGAGGACCTTATAAGCCGTGTGGTTGCCTGAACCAGGCTGATTCCTCAGGGACCGGCCACGGCGCCCTGGAATACTTGGGGGGACTTGCCGCAGCAGAGCTAATGCGGGTGGTATCATTGGACCCTACAAAGTTACCCACAAAAACTGTATTTTCGAAATTCTTACGTCATGACACACATAAAGCATAACTACCCTGGGCCACCATATCAATA